CCCCAAAACCCCAAAACCCCAAAACCCCAAAACCCCTTTGTGCGTATAAAGAATTGGAACATTGTGCATAAAATGGATACTACCAGCTTTTGGACAGAACACAAGGAGAAGACTTTATCTAAACTTGTAAAAAGGTATGGTCATAAATGGAGCAGAATAAAGCGCAGGCTACGTTGTCATTTCTCAGAATCTCAAATCAAGCTTAGGTATTGAGAAATCTTAGAGAGGGAAAAATGGAAAGTCACTCAAGATTTATCCTTGATAGAGAATATCTTTGCAAGTTATATCAAAAACCCTATACCAATATAGAAGGAAAGAGTATTCTTGACTGTAAAAAAAGAGTAAAGATTCTAAAAAAAGGAGTTTTAGAGCAGGTTTATTCAACCCATAGCCAAGAAGGAAAGAAATTGTTTAAAGCAGAAGACAGTTGTTCAGAAAGTGATGACTCAGATGATTCAGACATTTGAGTAATCTCAAAAATTCCTCCAAAAAAATCTACAAATAAAGTTAGGAGTTTGAAAGAAAACTTAGTGAAGCCGAACACTCCTAATTATCGATCCCAAATCTCTATCAAAGTCAAAAAAGAAAATCCTCACAAATCATCCTGTCTAACTCCATTTAGAAAGAAAAGACATAGAAAAGATACGAGTAAAACAAGAATAGCTCAAGATGGTAGGGCTTCTCCAATGCCTGCTTCAAAAGACATGAACCAAGTGAAGAGAAAATGTGTTTCTCAATCTTTAAAAGAAGAGCCTGATAGCCTTACCAAGCCTATTCCTGATATAAAAGCTGTGTATAGACATATGTTTCCAAAGCCAATTGAAGAGCTTACTTTGGAGCAGAAAATATTTGTATGAAAAGAAATCTCTGCCCTTCCGTTGAGCGAAAATATTGATTGGACCAAAATTCGTAAATGCCTCAAATGTTCTCTCCCTTCTGATTTTCTTTGCAAATATTGGAGATATATGTGTATGGAAGTTGTGTTAAAATATATTGAACATTGGAAAAATTGCCCCCAATACGTGCCGAACCTCTTTGAAAAATTTCCAAATATAAAGGCTTATATCCCCAAGGACTTATCCTGATTTGTTGTTAAAACTTGAAGGACATTTAATGAAATGCTTCTATTCGATCTTTGCTACCAGTTTAATTTAGCTAAGCATAATTCTAAATAATTACAAAGATAAAGGAGATTTTTAAAATTTGTATCAACTACTTTAATTTGGTCTTTTAAATCTTTGCGAAATGCCAACTAAGTGGAGTGAAGAAGACGACCAGCTTTTGCTAGATTTAGTAAAAACTCATGGCAAGAAATGGGATAAAATTGCTAAACAATTCCCAGGTAGAACTTCAATAGCATGAAGAGACCATTACTCTAAATCTGTACTGGGAAATGTTAGGAAAGGAAGATGGGATAAGCAGGAAGACGAGTGGCTGATCGAAATGTTGTTTGACAAGGTCATCCCTAATATTACGAAAACTATTCATAAACGCCAGAGAAAGGACATCCTAAAAAGACTTGACTATTATAGAGGTATTTTAGAGAGCAATGTTCTACATTATGAAATGCCACAGAGGAACCAGAGTTTACCAAAGAAAGAAGAAAGAAAAGTTAAATGCCAAAAATCAGAAGAAATCAATAAATTTATTAAAGAAGAACCTGTTTTTAAGACAGAAGAGGAAAATTCAGTAATATCAAATCAGGATGTTACTACTAGCAGAAAAGAGAATTGGAATCTGGACTCTGAATATGACTTGAGTATCGCTGAACAGGAGAAATTGGTTGAACTAAAAATGTCTTAAATGAAGACTGGATAAAGATATCCAATTTCTTTCAATCTTTCTCTCCAAGTGACCTCGAAACATACTATTATAACTTATTAAGATGGGCTGGGAATGAATACAAGCTAGATATCGATAAGAAGAGAAAGAAATTGTCTAAAATATTTAAAGATCAAGATACTTTATACCTATATGACCCAATGGCAGCTAGCGAATCTGAACTGATTCCTCTTGAACCTGTACTGAAGCACTTGCTTTCAGTTGAAAAAGATAAAGGAACTCCTAGATCCGCTGTCAAGATTGAGCAGAGCACAAGATTTTCACCTAGCAAGGATTTAAGTTCGTTTCATTGGACAGGTGAAAGATCAAGCAAATCTTCAACTGAAAATGATGACTATTAATTTTATAAGCTAATTTTTCAATTTTTTCTTTTATAATGGGGTTTTGGGGTTTTGGGGTTTTGGGGTTTTGGGG